TTGATCCTGAGGAAATAAGGAGAGGCATGTTGTATCCAAGCAACAGGACGGTTGCCAGGTGACAGCACTGAGGTCCTGAGAGCAGAAAGGGTGTGTTTGGTGTTTCTTAGAGGCGAAAGACTAATAGAACTGCCAGTCAAACCACTGACTGAGATCCGTTTGTGAGGAGGCTGAATCTGAACTCACCTCTGGGATCACAGCCAACATTTACTGCATGTCGAATTCACGGGAAACACATTGGCATGAGATCGCTGGTGAAGTTTGGCTTCAGAGTCAAAGAAGATGCAGCAAACATCATCAGAGCCGAGCATCGATCCATCACTCAGCATGAGGAAGAGTGAACGCAGATAATGAGCCTCCCATGATGCTCTGCTCTGCTCTGACTCCAGTCACACACACAATATCACGTGTGCTGTAGAGTTTGACATCATTACTGTTGGGAATGCTAAAATAGAGACACGTTTCTATTGTAAGTATTGAAGGAGTTTCTGTTGAAGTTGCCATTTCATAAGCAAATTTTTTTCAATTAAGGTTTTGGACAATGCATGTGGCATTTAATACTTTTATTGCAATAATTCAGGCAAGATACTAAAATTGTACACTTTAACCATATTTTCCACAGTACATTTATGCAGTTGTCTTGAATTACAAGTTTTCTGTCATTCTAAAAACGAATTTGCCTACATTTCAAGAGAATGAATCTGAACACTGGATTAAGTCAGGCTCAAAGTTCTTGTTTGATTTTGTTGACATATTAGGGTTACTGAAGGGATTTTTGATATCTCTTTTTAGCACTCTGTAAATCGGAAAATACTGTACTCAGCCAGAAAAAAAGTTTTTAGGAATAAAATGTTGAATATATATGAAGTGAATGATATATGAACAAACCCCACTGTAAAAACCTTCAGAATATAGATAGGAATAAAACTGTAAATTTTGGTGTAAGTGCTACTGAAGTGGAGAAACAAACTCAGGAAGCAAAAGAGCCCCAAATTAACCAGTGCATGAAAAAAATGTGGTTATAATCTATTTTTAGTGTTTGCTAATAGTCATAAATATATGAAAATGTAAACCATTATTATAAAACAGGCACAATGATGAACTTTCTCCTGTACGTTTGATTTGGTGTGTCGTACTGCCCTCTGGTGGTCAGTGCTGGAATTGTCCGCTTGGCTTCCTCTCATTGAGCATTGCTTGAATAATTTACATTTAGTCATTCAGCAGATGCTTTTGTCCAAAGCGACTTACAAATGAGGACAATGGAAGCAATCAAAACCAACAAGAGAGCAATGATATACAAGTGCTATAACAAGTCTGTTAGCTTAACGCAGTACACGTAGCAAGGGTTTTTAACATCATATAATAAATAAAAAGAAAACAGATAGAATAGAAAAAGAATAGAGCAAGCTAGAGTTAGAGGTCTTTTTGCTTTTGTTAATTGTAGAATAAATTAAAAGAAAACAGATAGAATACAAAAAGATTAGAACGCTAGAGTTAGGTTTTTTTGTTTGTTTTTTTTAAAGAAAACAAGCAGCAAATGAATAGAGTGCAAGTCTAAAAGGGATAAGTTTTTTTTTTTTAAGAATAGAATTAGAATATAGAGTGCTTGAGTTAAAGGGTCAAATAAAGATGGAAGAGATGTGTTTTTAGCTGATTCTTGAATAATTCATTAATTATTATTAATCAATAATTCATTGACTCATAATCATGAGGTAATTGGCTTTGGTTGCTGTTTTTTGTCATTTCGGCTCAGTTTACATGAGAACATTTTGCCCCAGTATGTAATTTATTAGGCTACAGTACAGTTCTCTGTACTTGTCAAACTTGTTTCTTGGGCCGCATGTAATTGGGTGGATGACGTGCAATATTTGTTCTTTTGAAAAATGTTTTTGTCAAACCACAGGAACCAAAAACATGGGATTAAATTAGCGTGTAATTTCCATGCATCTGTAAAGAAATGTATTTCAAAAAAAGTTAACTAAACTAAAACCATATTTAAAAAGTGAACTAAAATAAAACGTATAAAAACATTTTATTTCAGCTAGTTGCTAAGGCAACATTTCTCATTTTATTTTAGTTCAACTTGATTTTACTAAAAAAAAAAAACTGAAATAAAAGTGAATACAACTATATTTAAAAAACATCAAAGTTCCTTAAACTTTAACTAAAATGAAGATGAAAATGGAAAATATAAAAGTAAAAACATTCAAAATACTGATAAAAACTCATTTCAAAATATTAATAAAAACTATAACAGTACCTCAATAATACTAAAATAACACTGGGCTGGTGAACAGAAACGACAACAAATTGAATTTGTTTTTAGAGGTTTTTGAAGTGAATCTAATGGAGACTTTCATTTCATTTTTTTTAATGATTTTTTTGCCATGCTACAAAAATAGCGTTGGCACTGATGGCGGGGGATGTAATGGTGTACATATCACAAAATACACAATATTCTGTCTTTTTTCAAAAAATACAAACATTCTACTAAACTGATATCAGTACCCAATATATCAAATGTAAATATCAAAACTGGTTTCAGTACAACGTCCGTAATTGTGAAATACTCACATAGGAATGCAACCACACACACAGACACACACACTCACGCACACACACACACACACACACCTGAAAGATCCCGACATTCGTTCAGTTCCTCCAATTCGGCAAATGATCTTGATTTTGACATTTATTTCATTAGCACTCATTTGTTTCTAAGCTTACCGAGTGTTGTTTTGTACATGTGAATGTTCCTATATTTGCACACTCTCTCAAAAAGGTAGACAATAACATGATAATAATGCAACTCAAGCATACGATAAACTTTACAATAGAAACTTTATATGAACCGGTTGTCTAGATCAGTCCGTCTGCTCTACACGCCATACACAGATTTGTCTTCTGTTTGGAAACCCTTACGAACATTCGAGCGCATGCAGACGAGTGATACAATCACATTTGCAGCACTGCAAACATCCTCCAGGTCCTTCTGAAAGCGTCTGATGCACGTGATGACCTGAAGCTCGCATGATGTTTTTATAATCGACCTTTACAACACTGTGCTGTTTGTGAAATACTCAGAAAACAGGCCTATAGTGATGAACGTACAGTAGTGTTTGACAGGGATGCACTGGTTCAGTTTATCTGATACATGTTTTTATTGTGGCCAATGTTATGAATATACACTGTAACCCTGTATACACTGATTTTAAAGTTATTGAAGTATGTTTAACAAGGAAATACTATTTCCAGCTTTCAACTAAAAATGTCATGTTTAATTCAAAGTGTTACTTGCCATTTCTTTTGTTATTGATTGTGAAATTTACTAGCAATTTCTGAGTGAAAACTATGAAACTTGTTTCTACTCAAAAAAAAATTATACATATTATTATTTTTAATCTGAAATAAATATATATTTTTATTTTCGGGAAAAAAAGATGATGGTTTTAAGATATTCTATATATGAATAATCTTTAATTTTTTTCAGTGTAGTTCTTTTTTTTTTAAATGACAGTGAAGCTGAAATTGAACAATTATAATGCTTTTCATGTAAAGTTCAATTTTTTTCATGTGTAATAAGACTACAGTTTAGTATATGTATAACCTGTTATAGGAAAATATATATTTTGTTAATATTTATTTATTTTAAGAAATCTGAGGGAAAAATTAAGTCTTAATTTTATCTGCTTCCAATATTGGCTGATAACATTGTCCATTACCAATACACAGTGCATGACTAATATTATAAACTGTACAGTTTCTACATTTGAAACCCCTTTTAAACCAGCTGCAGCACCAAACGCTCATCAAATATCAGGGTTTCTTAGCAACTGAGAGGCGTGAGAAAGAGCAGAGCTGCTCTGAGACTCACTGAAGCGTGTGTTCGGTCGACAGACGCAAGCGTACGGCTAAAAACACTCGTACACGGCTATTTTTATAAATGCAGTTTTGCCTTCTTCCGTTTTTAAAAAAATCTCCGTCCACATGAAAACGCAAACGCATGCTATGAAGCACTGTCAAGGGCATGCCAAACCAACAGGTGGCGATATAATCTCAACCGTAAAACCATGTTGGCCAATCAGAAGCCTGAAAAAGTCTCCAGTAGGTGGAGAAACAGCGCAGGCTCCAAACGTCACAAGCCAAAAACTTTCAAAAGATTTTTGAAAATCTTCACCCTGGCAGGCGTTTTCAAAAATGTTCGGTTTCTGTGACCTGGTGCTGTGTTTGCGTGTGGACGAACGGCCTAACCGCGTAGAAAAAGCTGCGGTTTTAAAAATAAGCGCGTCCGTGTGGACAGGGCCTCACGCTAGCAGAGCAGAAGGGCTGTGGAGGGAGAGCGAGTGTTTACAGTGACGGCAGTGTACCATGTGATTCTAGAATACCGTAGAGAGCATCTTTTATTGCTCTCAAGTGCAAAATGAGTGACTTACATCGACACAGTAACCACAAGAAAGACGTATCTCGAACACTTTCGATATTTGTGAAATAGAGAGTAAAACATCACAGCATTGGTGAATGAGGTCTGCTAAACCGTCGTAGTGTTTCCTCATCTGTACCTGTTTGACTTGAACGTTTCAGACCTGCGTCTGTGTGTGTTGAGCGTATGAATGCAGATCAGTGCACTTGTGAAGTACTAAATAATGTAGTACATATACTTGAACTACAGTATATATATATACAAGCAAATCTCACAAAACCTGTCACGTCCAGGTCGTATTCAGCTGCGCATCACAGAAATAAATGACATTTTACCATGTATTCACATAGAAAACAGTTCTTTTAAATTGTAATATTTCACATTATTGCTGTTTTTACTGTATGTTTGGTCAAATAAATGCAGCTTTGGTGAGACTTCTTTCAAAATTATTTCAAGTTTGCATGTCTAAAAACGGCTTACTTTGGAATATAATTATTTATTTCTTGATATTCAGTAGTGAAATGTGACCTAAAGGTGTTTACGGTGAGATAAACTTGTGCATTCTGGCTGGTTCGGGTCACATGGGCAGGTCGGTACTGTTGTGTCGTGTTTTCCTGGATGTGCCGTCGTCCCGTGGCTGTGCTTTCTGCAGGCTGGACATGGCAGCCGTGCGCTCGATGTCGATGACGGTGTACAGCTCTGTCCGGCGCGTGGGGGTGGGAGGCAGGGGCGTGGTGGGGGTTTTACTGCTACCCAAGTCAAAAGGGTAATATTGTGAAATATTACTACAATTTAAAAGTTTTCTATCTGAATATATTTTAAAATATTTTAAAAATCATTGTAATATA